CTATTAACTAAGAGTGCAGTACACAGAGATATGAATACACACGCGACAATCTTGGGTTAAGCGCGGTCAGCCTGGCGAGGGGGGCGTAAGTGACCTGAGCCCTCCCGACCTTCAGGCCGTAGTCCGGGCTTCCTAACTAGACAGGCGCTGGCGACCAGCTGTTGACCAGCGTGGCGTGGGGCGATGAACTGCCACGTGGCCTATACGTGCTTAATACACAGTATAATATATGTGCAAATATATATATATATATATATATATATATATATATATATATATATATATATATATATATATATATATATAATATGTGTGTGTGTGTGTGTTGTAAGCTTAGATGAGACAATGAGGATTATAGCGATTTATTGGAAAATAGGACTCAGTATTCGCATCATTACAAAATTGTCTCAAACTTTAAGTGTTTAGTTGTCATTTTTTATCATTATTGATGATGAATGGGGAAAAAAATGATAATACATTACTGTGTGTGTGTATAATATATATATATATATATATATATATATATATATATATATATATATATATATATATATATATATACATATATATACACACACACACACACACACACACACACACACACACACACACACACACACACACACACACACACACACACACACACACACACACACACACACAAACACAAACACACACACACATATATATACTGTGTGTATATATGTGTAGCTAGCGCCATCACCGATGGCAGTAACTTGGCGCCATGTTTTACATTTCCGGGCTTTGTCTTTGAGGGATCAACTTATTTGTATATTGAAAATGTCGAGGAATGTTATTCTCGGCTTACCTCCAGCTTACCTTTAATTTAGGCTAAGGTCTTCTTATGTGCCTTTACAGATTCCATGTCTTGCAGGATAACTTCAGGTGACATCACACAACCTTGTTAAACATCTCGTTTGATGGGGAACCTGTTAGTTATTCCACTGGATATGCGGCAAGCTGTTCTTGGCTGACTGACTGATTTAGTCTCATATCTTTGTCATCTATCCGTATACTTGAGTGGATTTTGAACAAGTCTATGTGCCGGACCTCATCAGATAGATGTTTTGCTGGTACTGGGTGGCCATCTTGGCAAGTATTCTCATGATGAAGATATCATTCCTCGTACCTTTATCCTTCATAAACCCTTCGGTAGGGCAATGAATACTGATGAATGAATTCATAATTTCTTAAGGTAGTTTGCCTGTTTCATAGATATCATTTAGATAGTTCCAGATGAGATTAATACCTTTTTCTCCTAAGGTGTTGGGCATTTCTATGTATACGCCGCCAGGACCTACAGCTTTCTCAGATTCCATTTGCTGTAGGGACCAACACACCTCTGACTTCAGAATTAGTGGACCAGATGTGTCAGCTACCAGGACTAAATTTTCTGGTTCTTGCTCATCGTCAAAGAGATTTTGAACATACTCTTCCCAACGAGCACTGACATCCTCGGCCTCGTGGAGAATGCGGCAGTCTGATGCTTTGATGCAATTTTAGGAGGAAAAGTATCGTTAACCAGTGATTTCTCTTGTCCTGTGGAACATCTCTTTGAGATTACAACTTGAATTCTTTTCCTTCATTATTTTTTTTCCTGCAACCACATATCCTTGACTTTTTTATATTCCTCCTTGTAAAAAATGTTTACAAGTTAATATAGCATGGGGTTCTGTTTTGAAATTTGCCGTTTTCATAGCATGTCTTTGAGCTCTGTCAATGTCATTGTTAGAAGTCTCTGGTGTATTTCCATATAAAATCTTGTTTTCTTGCACCTCTAATGCACCGAGTTCAAAATTGGGGCAATCTCCGCTTTCTCTAAACTTTTTGAAAGATATCTAAATTTTATTATTGTTGGGTTGTTGACTGAATTTGCGTCTGTACCCGGATATGCTTGGTAGTCTTTGATTGCGTTTCGGTATCTTGAACTGATCATAGCATTCATTCCGTCCATCTCGTGGAGAACATTGTCCAATTTTCCTGGTTGGTATTAACTTGGAATGTTCTATGTTCCGATTCCGGATAGTTTTGATCTAAACCTTTTAGCCGATAAGATCAATTGTTGGTTGGTCTGCAGTCGCAGGATGACGATCA